CAGACTCCCAGAATTCATGAATAAATAAATACCAAAAATGGCAATATTTACTTGATAATAATAATAATGTCACTTTGTTTTGTTGCCCATATACCCAATGTAGTTAGTTCTCAAGATTTTTCACATCAATAATCAAGTATGTAATCCGGAACATGATAATCTAAATCAATCAAACAAAATATATGCCATAAGTACATATATCACTATGAGCTGATGAGAAAAGGCGATTTTGGGATTTCTCTTGGATTTTATTCAAATAGTTTATATTTAATTAATTGGAGGTTTTTATGTTAATCGCAATTTATTTAAAACAAAATAGAATGGTCATTTAGTAGTCTCAAATGTGTAATATTTGTGAAATTTTTGCTTTGAGGAGTTTATGTGATAAAGATCCATCAAGCTGGAACATATGATATCAAGCCAATCGATCCAGCTAAAGTAACATCTGATCGAATAAACAAATAAACAAATAGAAGATTTTCCCGCCAATTTACATTATTATTATTATTATTATTATTATTATATTTATCGGGAATTGGTTAGTTAGTTATTAATGCATTGACCATTGTACATCCATCAACTAGCTTCCAGGAATTTAATGATTTTTTCAATTACCCAATTCTTTATTATATTTGCTACTTATTATTATTAACATCTTCAATCTAATCTTTATCCTGGAACCCGTCACACCTTTAGCCAGTGTCAACACTGACTTAATCTATTATTATCAGTCTTTGATAAAATTTGGGTGATTGCCTAATTTTGAAAATTGAAAATTCAATTAATGTTATTATTTGTTTTTTAGTTTGTTCATTGTGATAATAAATGATAACCTTTTCATTATTTAAGGAATAGTTAAATCCCAAATTATTTATTATTTATTTATATTTTTGGAAATATTATTGGTAAATCTAAAACATTTCAAGCTTGAAAAGGAATTTGTTGATATCTTCACACAAACTTTATTTTCTAATTGGCAAAAAAAAAATTTTTTTTGTATATCAATCTCTTGTTTTTTTAATAAATAACTTACACACACACACACATTCATAGTTTTATTATACTCGTAGCTAACAATCGTTCTAACAATTTAATCAATTCTATATAAATAAGTAATATCCATTTCCACTACTAATCATCTCTCTGAGGGAAGATTGTTGTCACAAAAAAAAAAATAATAATTGTTCAGGGATAAAAAAATACTTTTTATATTTTTACATCAATATAATAATGACAATGGATTTTGAAGTTGGTACTGTTGTTTATGCCAAACTCAGAGGATATCCTTGGTGGCCAGCAAGAGTGTGTTT